ATGTTGCCTCATGTACCTTTTTTGTAAATGGATTGTCTGCCAATATATTATTTGATTTGGGAGCTAATTACTCCTTTATATCGTATAAATTCGGTGGAAGAATAGCATTTCTTGTAAATAAACTTGATAATGCTCTAGTTGTAGACGTTTCTAGTGGAAAATTCATACCTGTTAATGATTGCATTAAAAACATCATCATCAACTTGAACGGGAATAAATTTCATGAACAGTTGTTACCCATTGAGTTAAACGGTTTCGACATAGTACTAGGAATGGATTGGATTAGTGAAAATGATGCCGAGATACTATGCAAGGAAGAAGATGGTGAGAGTAAACCCACCCGAAAAATAGTTATTTCTGGTATATGGGGACAAACGTAGAGTAAATTCTAGAATCATTTGCCTGATGAAAGCTAAAAAGTGTTTGTCCAAAGGATGTACATCATACTTGAAATTTGTGATCGATGCAAAGAAGGAGAAGAAAAAAATACAAAGAATACCAGTGGTATGTGACTATTCGGAAGTCTTTCCGGAAGATCTTCCTAGATTGCCCCTTGATAGACAGGTAGAGTTTTGAATAGACTTGTTTCCAGGATTAATGCCAATAGCAAATGCATCATACCGATTAGCACCGACAAAGATGATAGAGATTATGATGCAACTTCAAGAGTTGTTGGACAATTGTTTCATTAGACTTAGTTCATCATCCTAGGGAGCTCCGATGTTATTCATAAAGAAAAAGGATGGGAGCATGAGGATGTGCATTAACTATAGAGAACTGAACAAGGCAACAATGAAGAACAAGTATCCATTGCCAACAACTGATGAACTGTTCAATTAGCAGCAAGGTCCGATCTATCTCTCAATGATCGATCTTAGGTCAGGATATATGTAACGCCCATGTTTCTAGGCTAAGCATTAATTTAATGGTGTAATAGTTAGGTTCAACACTTATAATCTACTTTGAAATAATAAACAGGAATTATTTGAATATTATGTGATTATATGTGCCTTATACTTAATTATAAGATATAATAAGTTAAGAATAAAAGTAAGCATGAAAAATAAAATAATAGATAGGTCCAATATCTATGAATAAAGTTGTAGTGGTCGGTACAAGGATTCCGGAGATATAAAGAACGCCGAAATCCAAGTTATAACGAAGAAGATATGACATGTCGAAGTTTCGTGTCAAAACCGGCACGACACTGGGAATCGTAAAAAGTGAGTTTATGATAAACTACTTTTTAACCTTAGGGGTCTAAATGAAAGTTGTAGAGTATGTCTCCACCTACGCGTGGATATAAAGAACGTAAAAAACAGAGTTCGTATGAAAAACTTTTGACCTTCCGAAGATACAGTTGTCTAAGAGCATGACACGTGTCAGAAACCCTGATTTGACTGGACTCACGACGTGAGCCTCTTTTCTCACGACGTGAGGAGTCAAAACACCACATTTCGAAGCTAGAATTCTGTAACATCCCGGAATAGAAAGAGTAGAGTTAAAGGGCTAAAAGTGTAAGTCTCGAAGGGCGACTCGGCGAGTCCATGGATGGACTCGGCGAGTAGAGTCGCGACTTTGGTCGCGTGTCAAGTGGCCTACTCGGCGAGTCCAAAGATGGACTCGGCGAGTAGGTGCTGGGTGAAGAAAACCCTAAATCCGGGGAATGAGCCCTATATAAAGAACATTATGTTTCCTCCCCAGCCTCTTTGATCCCCCTTGAGTCCCAGAAACCCTAATTGCATGGAGGAACACCATTGTTGAGCAAATTGGAGCTTGGAGAGGTGCTTGTTGAAGAAATCTTGAAGGAGAAGAGGCTTGGATCAAAGGGTTTTGCTTGGATCCGAGTTTCATTGCTGTTGGGGCATTCTTTGGAGGTAATATGTCGTTCTTGAGCTGCTATTGTCTAGATTCTTCATTTTTGGGGGTGTTGAGATCATATCTTTTGGTGCTTTGGGGTCTAGAGGTTAGATCTGAGGTTGCTACCTCAAATCTGGAATAGAGAAGGGTTGGAATGCCTGAAAGTCCCTGTAATTGAGTATGTAGTGAAGCTATCTTGTCCCAAACCTTAGCCCTAATGTGTATAATGCCTAGATCTTCATGGAATCACGTAAAGATTGCCACTTTACGTGATTGATGGCCTTAGGAGAAGTAGATCTATGTTTTGGATCAATTGCATGGCATGGAGTGCTTCTGTATGGATTCAGACCGGTGGAACTCGGCGAGTCGCATGGGTGGACTCGACGAGTTGGATGAACAACTCGTCGAGTAGGTTGAAGATAGCCTTAGACTCGGCGAGTCTTGTCGAAGAGTCCTAATATTTTCTGGTTGAGTCGAGAATCGGTGAGTCAAGGGATGACTCGGTGAGTTGGGTGCAAGTGGACTCAGAGTTGTTGGACTCGGCGAGTCTCGGGGTGACTCAGCGAGTTGGGTCGCGGATTGGGGGAAGTTCTGAGCATAGGGACTCGGCAAGTCATCGGGTTGACTCGGCGAGTAGAGTCAGTCAGGGGTTGACTTTGACTTTGTCCAAGGTTGACCAGTTGTCTTCCAGGGGTATTTTGGTAATTAAGGGTATATATTGAGTTGAGTGTTTTGGTGTTCAGTGGAGGAGTTCGGAGCAGCAGGATCTTATCCTTTCAGCCGGCAGTTTCGAGGTGAGTTATCCTCACTATATCAACAGGGTCTAAGGCACCAAGGCCGGCCCTTATCGGATTGAGATCCGGGTAGTTGTTGTTATTTTGTTGCTGTGATATGCTTGCATCCTGAGAGTTAGGACGGTATATGTTAGAGGCCTGATTAAGATCGGTATCCTGAGAGATAGGGAAATGCTATGCTAGTGGCCTGTTAGGTTGGTATACTACTTAGAGTATGTTATGCTATGTGATATGTTAGATCGGTTTGTTTGAATGAGAACTGTTATATGATTATATGTTTATGTACACATGGTTGTTTGGACTGGAGATGGGTTGAGGCGGGTCCTGCTTTGTGCTGTAGGCCAAGATACCCAGGGCGGACCGGTTATTCCGAAGGCCCAGCGAGTGGTCCGGATATGCTGTAGGCCCACGCGGGTGGACCAGACGTGCCGAAGCTCGGAGAGTGGACCAGACCGACTGAAGGCGCGATGTGGGCGGACCAGTCATACTGTAGACTCAGAGAGTGGACCAGGTGAGTTGAAGGCCCAGCGCGGGCGGACCAACCACATTGCAGACTTGAGGTACGTGATTGGACACAGAGGGTGGACCAGGGGACTGAAGGCCCGACCAGGCGGACCAGTCCCACAGTAGACCCGATATGCATGACTGTTCTGTGATTCGTTATGAGATAGCATGTTACGTGTATGGTATATGTGGTTGGTATTTTGGGGGTATCTCACTAAGCTTTCGGGCTTACAGTTGTGGTTTAATGTTTTTCAGGTTCTTCAAGAGATTGTGGCAAGGCGAAGGCGTGATCGTACCACTCCTCATGATTTTGTAGCAATGTGATTCTGAGAATACTCTAAATGATTTGTATTGAAAACCTTTTTGTAATAATTTAATGAAATCGGGTTGTTTTTGAAAAATTTAAATTGGTTGGATGTGGGTTTTTGACACGGACATCACAATATGGGAGTTTTTACCGGTAGAAAACATTTTTTGGAGTTTTTCACCGGTAGAAAACATTTTTGACACGGACATCACAATATTCACTATTGTTGGAGTTTTTCACCGGTAGAAAACATTTTTTGAACTAAGAATAGCTCGGAACAGAGAAATCCAAACATAGTAATGTGGGTTTTTGACACGGACATCACAATATGGGGTTAGATTTAACTCATTTAATAACATTTCCTGAAATGTATGAATTCCGGATCAAGTAGTTATTTAAAAAAAAAAGTGGTTGTTAGAAAAAAAACGTTACAATACAAAAATGGTTAGATTACTTATTTCCCTATAAAAAAACAAAATGTAAAAAAAATATATATTAACAATGTTAAACATGTATACAAACAAAACATCAAAAAAAATATTCAAACAAAACATAAAAAAAACATTAATACATTCGAAAAAAAACATCAAAAATTTAAAGAAATTTATTTGAGCAAAAAAGTCAAAAAAATATAAGTGAAAAAGAAATATAAAAATGAGACATTATATTCGAAACAGCATATAAAAAATTAATTCATAAAAAATATAAATAAATAAATTATAAAGATAATATATAATAGACAAAATTTCATAAATTGTCCCTATGACTTGAACAAATTACATAAATGGTTCTTATGACAGGAATGGTAAATGTGTCATTTTACAAAAGTTTTAACTGGAAAATTTAACACCGTTAGCTAAAATAACCGTTTCTACAACATTTTGAAACCCCAATGACCATTTATGCAAACAATTCGTCATAAGGACTAAAGTTGGTTTATTTTATCAACCACAAGGACCATTTATGTATTTTTGTCAATATTTAATTATTAAAATACTTTTAAAAAATAATGCATTGTAGAAAATTTTCAAACTACATTTTTTTTGACAAAACTTCAAAAATGATCACTATGGTTTCCGAAAATATCAAGTTTAGTCCCTAAGTTCAAAAAACCTCACAGATGGTCCCTGTGGTTTCAAAACTTTTAACAAATGGTCCTTTTCGCTAACTCCGTTAGCTTTTGACCGTTAAGTGAAGGGCATTTCTGTCTTTTCACTATTACAGGGACCATTTTTGAAGTTTTTGCCTTATTTAAAAAAAATATTATTTAATATAGAAAAGGTCTCTCTCTCTTTCTCTCTCTCTCTCTCTCTCTCTCTCTCTCTCTCTCTCTCTCTCTCTCTCCGGCCAAAGGGAATCCAAGACCCTAATCGATTTACATTTTTATTCATCACCTGATCGAAATGTGGTCTAAATTTAGAATACTAATCAGAGCCAGAACCACCAACATCACCCCCACCAATCTTGTTATATCTCTTTTCAGTTGTCCTCTTCCTTGCCCTTGCTCTTACTTGTTCCCTAGTTTCTTTAGAAAGCTAGTTATGAATATACGCACTTTTCCTAACTCCTCTATCAAGTTTTTTCTTCTCTTTGTTACTGCTAGAGGAAGTAGATTTTGCGTTACCTACTATAATCACCGTATCTTCCCTAATTTTCTCCATAGATTGATCATCAATTCCAAACATAACTTCACATTCTGATGCAGAAGAACCGCTATTTGACAGACCAATGAGACTGCAAGTATGGTCTAACTGCTGGGGAAGTAGATCTTGAATAGCGGGTTTTGATTTCATGAGCAGCCAGTCGATAGTATTGTTGGCCTTATCGAACCCAAGCATATCTTGCAACCTTAAGAACCTCTTTGCTACATCAAGAGACAATCTCATCCTTCGGTCCCTGGGGTCTTGAGATCAAGCTTTCAGAAACGTCCTACTTGGATTTTCAACTTCACCAGCTTATGTACTTGCTTTATCCCAATAATTCAAGTTCCAAAACATGTTATTGAAGTAACCCCTCCATTGAACTTTCTTGAAATCCAAAGTTATCCATCTTTTAGGCCTGATTTTGGGGATTGAAAGAATACCCCTGACTGCAAATGGAAGGAGTGAGAAAGAAGCAAGAAGAACAATGGAAAATCCGACAATGTGAAGATCTCTGTAGTTCAGACGAGTTAATAAGATAGTAATTGCTAAAAGGGTTGGAATTCTAACGTATAATTGATCGAAGATTGGGATTGATTGCTTCAAATAATCGAGAAATAATACAGGGTAGAGTGCGTTATCCATAACCCCACTAAACCATTTCCAAAACCCTTCTTGGAAACCCCAAAAAGGGTCGAATGCCGGTGATATCCAGATGACATAACCGCCGTTTTCAGGGAAGCTTGTGGCGAGTTCGGCCGTGATTAGTGCTTCTGGGATGCTCCAAAAAATGGGGAAAATTAAGAACCCTAGTAATGAAAGTAGAGCTCCACCTCCAGATTTGACTGAATCTTCTACACCAAATGGACCCCCGGAAACTTCGCATAAAATTAGGGCGATTAGAGGTAGTAAAGTTAGTTTAGGGGTTGATTTCTTATCTATGGTGTTCTTCTGATCATTCCTCAAGATCGTCTGTTTGTTTTCCCTCCACACCCATGAAGTTTGATGATCGAAAGCTTGATCTTATGGCGTATTAAATTATCACCATGGTCATGATTGAGAAGTCGATGGAATAAATGGGATTAATATGAAAGATTTTATGAATGGGATTTTGATTGTTCGAGGAAGCTAAGTGAAGATGCGAATGGAATCAGAGAGAGAGAGAGAGAGAGAGAGACCTTTTCTATATTAAATAATATTTTTTTTTAAATAAGGGCAAAACTTCAAAAATGGTCCCTATAATAGTGAAAAGACATAAATACCCTTCACTTAACGGTCAAAAGCTAACGGAGTTAGCGAAAAGAACCATTTGTTAAAAGTTTTGAAACCACAGGGACCATCTGTGAGGTTTTTTGAACTTAGGGACTAAACTTGATATTTTCGAAAACCACAGGGACCATTTTTGAAGTTTTGTCTTTTTTTATTGATTTGACATAATAAATAAAATTTATATACGATTAACCATTGTGGATGCTATAACGCTCTTTATATTATATGTTGAAAAGTATTTCACGGTTCTACAAACAATTGTGCTTTTTATATAAAATTTTTAACAAACATGCCTAAATTTTATTAGATTCAGTATAAATACACATATTTAGAAGTTTATATGATCGACTAATAGTACCAATGATGTTTGCTTCTTTTTAATGTTTTAGTATTCTGAGTGTGCATTTCTTCTTATTGAGAGTATGTTTGGGCTGATTACGTGCTTGGCAACTAATTTGTTTTTTGAACTATACGAATAATCTATAAAACATCGGTCTAAATTGTACAACAACTCGACCCACCAAGTTTTGTTTAACAATTAAAAAAACACAAAATTAGTATTAAAATTGAGTCCCAAATTCATAACCCATTAGTTTAATTAACTCAAACGGTACCACTTCAAGTGCCTCTCTAAAATAATAATGGTTGCTTCTTATCATATTCCTAATAAATAGCAGTGTATATGTGTGCTGATAGGAATATAGGATACAGTTTATATATTTAAATTCTTATCAGGTTCCATATATTTGCATAATAACTTTAAAGTCTTAATAGTTACATAATTAAAGATTTCAGAGCGTGCTCAATCATATAATAGAAAAAAAAAAAAAAAAAAAGGATTCCTAATTGTCTATTTATCTTTAAAGCATATTTACATGTACAAACCACACAATATGTTAAAATGATAATGTTTATAAATATCTTCAAAATTCTGTTACTGTAAATTCTGCAAACGTCATTTTTTTATAGTTTATATAATTCCATTAATGTATATTCATAAATAATCCAATAATTTATATTAGTTTCTATAATCTACAAATCATGAGTGTAAAGTTAAATGCAAAAAGGTTAAACCTTTATTATAATTCATGGGATGTGGAGGATGGACTTGAATGACCCTTCGGAAAAGTTGCAACAATGTCTAAGTGCGCATGAGTTACATATTAGTTGGATCTACACTTATATATATATATATATATATATATATATATATATATATATATATATATATATATATATATATATATATATATATATGTGTGTGTGTGTGTGTTTTTGGATTCTATGAGAAACAAAAATTACGTGAGAAATCTAGAGAAAATGACTGAAATGCATGTTTTTCTAACGAACCAAAGAAATAATTAGATCCTGCAAAAATAAGAAGGTTTACATAAAACCCACAAAAAATGGTTCCAAGATTCATTTTGAGATTATTTACTAAATGTGATTGAAAAAAGAATCACTATTTAAATCAATAAAAAAAAATGAATCATTAATGCATTTTTTTTCATTTAATTTTTTCTAACTTAAGTTATTTTTGTATTATCTAATGATTTATTTCCTTCTTTTTCCAAAAAAAGATGCAAATTGTTAATTTCGCACATACAATTGTTAGACTGAATAATTAGATCATGCAAAAATAAAGGGCTTACAAAAAACCCACAAAAAAATGGTTCCAAGATTCATTTTGAGAATATTTACTAAACAAGATCCAAAAAAGAATCACTAAAAAAATGAATTATTAATGCATTTTTTTCATTCAGTTTTCTCTAACTCATGTTATTTTTTTATTATCTAATGGTTTATTTCCTTGTTTTTCCATAAAAAAGATGCAAGTTGTTAATTTTGCACATACAATTGTTAGACTGCTTGGAGTGGACATGATAAAAGCACATCAAAGATGATGTGACTCTTTTATGCCACCATGAGCACCGCCCCGTGAAATGGCAAAGGTAAAAAGATGTCGGGCTCAACGTATATGTGTCGAGTCTCTCTCCTTTCTCCTAGTATTGCTACTCTCTTTTCTCTATATCTTCTCTCTTGTCATAGTTAAAAATGTCACCACTCACTTGTCTTGGTAAACAATCATATAATTATGGTAAATTCTACATGAAAATAACTTAAAAATAACTTTGTGAGTTGTTTAACACCTCAATTCACGATCTAAATCATTTAAATCGAAAATATTCACACACACGTACACCATGTTAAGTGTTAAGCGACTTAGAACCATTATTTCGTGAAAATCAGTTTACATCAATGATCAAACGGAATAGTTTAAACCTAAAAGTTGTCTCTTTACAACATGGACCCTACATATACGTGTCTTGTTTTATTATTATATATCTATCACCCTTTTCTTAGTTGCATCCGCTCTTGTACCAAATGAGAACCAACAAAATCCACCACACACACAACTCATTATATACAGCCCACCAAGGTATTATTTCTTCATTCCTTCCTTTCATTCGTTCTGCAAACACTTAGATTTATTCAGCCAGAAATTAAGAAGCTGATCATGGCGGCAACAGAGGCGGAGATGGTGACCGGACAGCCAAGATCGGGGTGGTCGTGTGGGTCCATATGGAACGTTCGAATTGCCGCCTCTAGGGAACGAGGGTGTCGGAGAAACGGTTGAGTTCATGTCTATTTGATCACTTAGGCAAGTCTGAAGCTTGGCTCTTACTTTATTAACACTCTCTTTTTTATTTTTGATTTTTGTTTGTTGTCATGAAAAAGAATTGGGGAATACAATAAAAACTTTGGGAATTCAGTTTTTATTTTAATTTTCGTTTTTAAAATTGTGTCATGTGTTTGTTTTTCTTTTACCGATTGGCGAAATTATTATTTATTTTATGCATGTTTAATTAATATTTTTTAAACCATTTTGAATAGAAATCACGACCACAAATGAATACAATATTAAGATTCCGTTTAGAGTCCTTAAAATTATGCTTTAGGATACGTGTTTGGTGATCTTCATCTTCGTTGCACGTTCTAAAAAGATACACTTTGATCAGGAGCCTTTTTTATTTGGAAAGATTGCTAACTTTTTATCTTGGTCTACTTACATAACACCGAAGACACACAAAACATAATGCAATGGTAGGTTAACCGAAAGATGAAAGATATATACAAACTGTAATGATACTTTATGTTAATGATGGTATCGACCGATGCCATAAACATGTTGACGATGGGACATGCATTACCAACGGCTTCCAAGCGAAAAATATAGAAACAAATTTCATTTTGACAATGAGGAAATAATCAATTATCAAAGTTTCGTAGAAATAATAATCAATTTGTGTCAAAATCATAATGATATACGTCTATATCATTATATACTTATAAATGAAATATTTTTCCTTTCACCGCATTCATTTGAAACTATCATTCTTTTTTCCGTTCACCACATTCATTTGAAACTCCCATGACTTTTCAATTTCTTTCTAATAATAATTATAATTTGGTAAATTAGGTTAAATAAATATCAAACTAAATTGTAATCATATATAAACTATATTTCAATATTAAAATAATATCTTTAGTTATACTTCATTATGTTCCTTAAGTTTTTAACATATTATACTTAATTTATTAATTTTAATATATTGTTGGATATAAATCATTATCATTTTAAATGTATAATTTTGGAACAATTTATATAAAATACTTAAATTATTACTTTAAATATAACATTATAGGGTCAACTTAAAAATAAATTTTAGTTTAACTTAAACAACCCAAAAAATATTTTATAAATAGTTAAAAATGGTAAATTGTAGTGTCAATAATGATTATAAGTTGGTTAATAAGGTTAAATATACATCAAACCTAAAGTGTAATCATAAATAGATTATATTTCAATTTTAAAATAATATATTTACTTCTATTTATAAAGTTATGGCTTTAAAATTTAATATATTATACTTAATTTATTACATTTAAAATGTTGTTGTATGTAAACTATTATC